TGCGGCAGATTTCTCTCAAAAGGTACTACGACTCCCTTCTCCCTGGGAATTCTCCTAACGGTGTGAACAACACCCGTAAAACAGGACAACCAACAATCAGCAAAATGTTCCGGGCCAAATAGACCCCCTCTCACTAGCGGCCGGACACGGCTCCGCACTAGGAATTCCTTAACACAGAACGTGTTCTGAGTGATGACCATGCTGAAACAATCGAGCAGCTTTGCAAAAGTTCACAGGTATCCACAAAAGGGTCGACAAAGACCAAGAAAAATGCCCTTTCCTTCCCCTCCTCCCACGCCGAACTGCGCTACAAACACTCACATCGGACACATCTCCTGAGGCGATGCCGCTAATTTCAGCTTCATCGTCGACATCAGCGATGGCACTTGTGGCTCGATTCGTTTCCTCGTTGGTGACTGCTACGCTGGTAGATGCCAGGGGAGCTTCACCTGCACTCGATAAACCTGCTGATGCAACCACCGCTCCATTCTTTCCGGGAACAAACACCAGCGTCGGATATTGCGGCTCTTCCTCTTCATCATCGCCGTCAAAAATGGACTTCACCGCATCTTCAGTTTCCTTAAATGAGTGAAATATATAGTGAGGGTGGCACAGGGGAATTAAAATAAAAGTAGCAAAAATAAGCTGAAGATTACTAAGTGTGATTTCTGCAAGCAACACCGCACACAAATCACACCATAAACCAGTGCTCTAGAATACCTCAAAGCAGAGCAATCGCACCTGAACATCGGAAAGTCCTCGAGCGGTTTTCTTCGCTTCCTCGTCGATTGATGCCTGCTCACATGGTGTCACTGTTGGTTCGGGAGCTGGAGGAAGTTGAACTGGTGCTGGAGGAAGTTGAACTGGGCTGGAGGAAGTTGAACTGGTGCTGGAGGGAGTTGAACTGTTGCTTCAACCACATCATGCGGCACTTCTTCCTGCTCACAACTCGATGACTGCTCTGTGGTATCCTTCACACTGTCGCTGTTACTGGTCGGTGGCGGTTCTTGCAAGGATGTCACCGTCATAGATGCCTTCGTAGCAGAGCATTCATCGGACGATGTTGTCGCCTCATCGACATTCGTACCAGGTGGTTCGGGGACGCTCGCATAACCAGCCGCAGCATCAACAAGTTCAACAGCTCGATGTCGAGATCGCTGCGAATCGGAATCAGACTCACTGACTTCATCCGGTTCAGTTGCGCCAGAGCTACTGGTGCTTACTCGACGAACTGGAGGCAGAAAACTGGTCGTAGTAGCATCTTGTTGGTTGGTAGCTGGTGCTGATAGTGCACTCGCGAAGACGTCGTCGTAGTCCGTCGACTCGTCGTCCGAATCCGCTTCGGTCGAAGGCTAAAGCACACCACAGCACATGACAACAGCAACAACAACACCACTACAACAGTATACACAACAAATGGCATTCGTTCAAAACTAGCAAGCTTACGATTACGTGCTCAGGGAACTCCTAACAACTCTTTGGACTACCTACCACCTCGAACTCGAGTTAGTGAGCATTTGCCTCACAGGGCTAATGTTTTTACGGAAACAGACTCTCTGGATGCAGTGCAGGACATTCGAGGCGCACTATGGCGGGGAAGGCGGTTACTATCGGTGGATGGGCAGCGAGAAGGCCACTCAGCTCTTCCATCAATGACGTTGGCGGCAACCGCCCCCAGCTATCGTGCCAATTGCCTTTTGAGAACAAAACTGTACGCTCACCTTCGAGAACGGCCCTACTTATGCAAGAATACAGGTTGGCATCCTCACTAATGAATTGGTACTTTTGGTACCCGAGAGCGCGTGGAAATGAGGCAGAGGGGCTCTCAACCCGGGTGCCGTTTGGGGCCCTGCACGCTATCCTCAAAGTCCACCACATGCATCGACTTGCAGCAAAACGCGAACCCTACAGTAGTGGAGAACCAAAAGTGAAGCGCAGACGAATAGCGTGTTTGGCTATGCTTACGCGTGTGACTGGCTGTCCGGTGCACGGGCGGAGTCCCGTACATCACCCGGATAACACTACCCTGCAGCCCTGCACTTTCGACATAAGAAAATGGCACTTTACTGCAGCTGCGGGCCCATTCGCCGCGCACATTGCTACGGGCAGAATCCACGGAGGCCAGTGTAGAACTTGGTCTTGGACCAGCACTAGTAGCTAGTTGACCCGACATAGCACTTAAACGTCAAAGCAAATGTGTCACGACAGCTTATATTGAAGCAATGTCGGGTGACGTAAGCCGCCATGACACAGCTGAATTGCTGCCGAAGTGGTGTATCGGGTCAACTAGCCAAGGATGCTAGATTATTGCGTTTGATGACGCGCCTTGGAAGTCCTGAACTACATCCGGATTCTCTGACCCACTCTTTTGAAACCAGGAGCTTGTAGATTTGATTGAATAGTAATAATTACCTGTGTGGCAGATACGGTTGAAGTGGCGATGGTAGATTGACTTGGCACAAAGATCTTCATCGCAGCTTTCGTGAGAAGCTTTGGACGAGTTTGTTCTGCCCCTGTGGATGCAGCGCGCTGAGGAGGTTTAGAGGATTCGCTTTCCGTTTCTGGATGAGGGTGTTGAACGTGAGCTTCCTGCAACTGATTATACATGACATTTTTTTGTGAAAAAGAACCCTTTCGTGTAATGACTCCTTACCTTATCCTCCTCTTCCGGTTCATGTTCCGTTTTCACTTGCTCGGAAACTTCCTCTGTCTCCATTGGGATATCTTCTTCTTCTACTTTGACTTCTACAGGCTCTTCCTTGATTGTAGGCTCGTCAATCTTCTCGCTCGTAGTAGAGCACTGGCTGTGCTCCTCTTCAATCTTTACTACCACACTCTGCGTATCCATCTCGGAAGCGCTTGACTCATCCGACTGATGACTTTTCTTGGTCCGTTTAGCAGGCTTTGACTCTGCAAGTAATTTTATCATTTTCGAAGTTCAGTCAAAATACCTCAAGCAGTAGCCAACGAGACAACACCTTTACAAACTTAGCAAACTCACCATGACTATCACCTTTACGCTTGGGCATCTCCTTCTTATCCTTTTTCTTCAGTTCCGCCTCTTTTAGCTTCTCCTTGCGTTCTTTCTCATTTTTCCGCGCTTTCTCCGCCTTATCAGGACCAAAGATTGATTCGAAATCAAGTTTGTCAGATTTTGTGAGCTTCTTCTTTGGAGCTTCGTTCTCATCAGAGGAATCCTAAACAGAAGTGAATAATTTATGTTCGTTTCGGGGCTGAAGCAGCTTTGAAGGAGGCTGCACAGTAGCGCTGGTTCTAACTTAGTTCGGTATTTCAGAAGGTGAGGGGGAGGCACATAGCACCGCCTCCGTGTTCTTTACCCTCTCCAAGGCTGAGCCTCAGCAGAGCTCAGACGACCAAAGCTGACATGAAGTTTAGCAGAACAGGAATAGTTCTAAGCCGACCCGACATAGGCGCGTCTCTTCCCCCCCCCCTAACCACATTAGCACAGCTGGTGCTCTTTTTCTGGTCGTTAATCACTCTCCAAGATGGCCCTCTCGATAAGAGGATGCAGGCGATCAGACATAGGCGCTGTCGTGCCTATTCACTCCCTTCCCAGTTACCTTTGCCCTCAACTTTACGGGGCGCTTTCGGCTTGAGAGCGCAGGATGCACTTTCCGCTAGCTCTTGACAAACCCTATTTTGGTGAGACCTGTAAACTTTTGTGAAGCTGCAAAATGCTATCGGAGACGCCTTGGTTACAAGAGCCGCCAGATCTTCACAAAATAGACTGCCCAGGCTTCTCCAAGTACCACTTGCTGCCCCCACCAAGACGAACTTCCTCTTCTGTTGTACCTTAACCTTTGAGTAATTCAACGTAACCTACCTTCTTGGTCTTCTTTCGCTTCTTCTCTTTTTCTTCAATAGATAAAGATTTCTCATTATCAGTACTATCTGCGCCAAAGACATCTTCCATGTTGATGTTCTTGCCCTAGAAACGAAAAAACTTCGTGTCATCTCACAAATCAAAGGCATTTTGGCGCTCGGGAAACATACATGTTTATGCTTTTCTGAAGCTTTCTTCGTTGATCTTCTGTGCTGCTTGCGGTCTCCTGCATCAGATTCTCCCGACTCATCCGTAGAGTAATCCGGTTTCTTTTTAAGCTCCTTAAACGAAGAAAGCACCGTTTTCATGATTAAAAAGTTGGCCTCAGGTCGAATCGCTGATGGCACTGTTCCAATAACGGAGTAGGGGGAATTTCGATCGTGCATTTATACTCTCCAAATTCTCCAGTTTTCGTGGAGAACTGCCGTCCAGTGGTAAGAGGGACGGGGAGAGACAATGGGACGTGAAACGGGGAAAGCCGTGAAAAATCAACGACTGGAATCATTCTTTCGAAGACACGTACTTCCCTCCCTTCCATTCAGCGACCAAGTATGGCCCTCTCGCTGGGAATGCCCAGCTAGACGTGCCCTGAAAAAGAAACTGCTAGACCCTCCCATGAGCTACTTAACGCTTAACGCGAGGAAATCTTCATAAACCCCAGTTTACCATTCTGAGAAAATTGCCCCACAATCAATGCACTCGCACCTTGGGGCCCCAGCTAGAGGCGCGGGTCGTATTTCGTAGCTGGAGAGGTCATATTTTCCTCAAAAACCTTCACATATGCTCACTTCTCCCCTGAAATTCTGTTTCGAGAGTGCTATCAACCCCTCGCCACCACAGCTCGGCTATAGTCGGTTGAGGAAAAGGTGGAGGATTTTTGGAAAAAACTCCGCCTAGAGGAGGAACTCTCGAGAGGTGAATGGGTGGGTCATGTTCTGCAGAAATTTCCCGCAATGGCAGGAAGTCCCCTGACCACAATCATCCCCAACATACTGGAATAGCGCCCTACCGTCTACTGCAAAACTAAGAGAACTACCTCTTCGTCGCTGCTGTTGCCGTTAGCACTCTTCCCAGCCCGTGCGACCTCCTCTTCCTCATCAGACGAGTCGTCTGGTTCGAACTCGGTAGGTTTTCGTGCTGGTTTAGGACATTCATCTTCCTCATCAGAAGAGTCCAGCTGGATGCGGTGGCGCTGAAAGAATGGACTCATCAACGGACTCAAAGCAAACGAGCAATAAAATGAGCCCACTTTTTGGTTCTTCCGCTCGTTATTCTTGTCTCGTAAACGCTGAAGCGCAGCAGTCTTCTTGGTGCCATCGTCCTTATTAGCAGCAGAGCTTCTTCTTTTCACACGATCGTACATAGACAAGCCTCCACTGGCTCCAGCACAACTCGAACCACTGTCTTCTGCGACGAGATGAGCCAACTGCTTGCTGAATGCTTTCTGAAAAGAACTTCTTCACAAACAGTTTTGAGCAAGTTTCAAAGAAAATTAACCCACCTGATAGTCGCTGTCATCGCTCGAACTTCCGTCGTCAGATGAGCTCTGCCTTGATTTCTTCTTCTGCTTTTTGGCTTTCTTCTCTCGTTGTCGCTCTTTCTCAGCCTTTTTCGTTTTCTTCTCCCTCTTTTCCCTCTCATCATCTCTGACCCGTTTGCGCTCTTCTTTGGCCTGAAAACCGTAGAGAGATCGGGAACTGCACTGGCTTAGCTCCGAAGCACCAGAAAGGAAGAGTTCAAGCGGAACAAACCTTTTTATCTCGCTTCTGATCTTTCGTCTTCTCACGGTCCTTCTTTGTCCTCTCAGCTTCTTTTCGTTTTGCTCGTTCTTCCTTCGTCTCGAATGAACCATCGTCCTTGCGACGCTAAAAAGAAGTAATTTCAAGAAATCGTTCCGTGAATTCTAGTAAGCAGTTTCGACATTAGTGGATGTGTACAATCTGCGACTGCACACAATCGGCAACAAGGGGGCGCAGGAGATCAATATGTAAAGGTCTGTCGCTCAGTAGTGGGCGGAGTCGATCAACTCCCTTATCCTCCAGATCCCTTAAGCTGATGCATCGCGCTAGCATAAATACGACACCATTCGAATTTTCTCCTCAGAACGACCCTCCCCCACAAGGTCTACGGACAAATTAAACTTAATCCCTTTGAGTTTTGCTCTGCACTCCCTCGTCTGTTCCGCATTCTATGGTCGTTGCGACCCATACATTCCAGGTAAGCGGCTCCCCCCGGAGATGGGGAAAAATCTCAAGAGCGGAAAAATCCCCCCTGTGCCGAAAAAACGACCCCTTCGTCGTGTTTCACAACGGTCTCCAGATCGATACATAAGTCAGCGGTTTCCTGTAATCGCAGACTCTCCGAATCTCTAGAGCGAAGCATGAATGCAGCCGCGCTGACAGCCCCCATCATCCGCAACGGACGGGACTATAAGTGCAACTGATTCTGAATATCTTCGATAAACTAACCATTTTATGTTCCTTCTCCTTTTTGTGATGATCCAGGCTTGTAGAATGTTTCTTGGATTGTTCATGAGCATGATGATCCTTTTCAGGGTGCGCTAGCACAGCAGAGGGCTTTTTCTCGATCTTTGGTAACTTTCGGAAGTCCGTAGTCGGGGGCTTGTTGTGGAACAGTTCCGCTAGTAGTTCTGTTGACGGATCCTGCAAAAGTACGCCTGTAATCCCAGACAAATGTCTCAACCCAGCGGATTTATTTCTCAGGGGGGGGGCATCTCTTCCAGAAGATTATGAATCATACGTACCTTGTGAGCAACTGTTGATGCTCCTGTTTTACGTGCATCCGAAACCGACAACGATCTTCCAGTCAATGATGGAGCTGAGCCAGGTACCGGTGATTTTAGCGCAGACATTGAATCGTGACGTTGAGGGGTATGCTAAAAACAAGTAATTGTTCATACACTGTAACCATAATCAAAAGTACACATTCAATCGAGAATGATCGAAAAATGTCTAACGTTCGGTTCACAGAGTTCACATATGCTCACTTTTTCGCCTGTCCGTTGGGATGGTTGCAGGATCTTGTTGCCAAATGACTTCGGCGTTGCTTGCGTCGAATGAGATGTTCCATGATGTGATTGCTGTTGGGTTGGAGGGTGAGATGAAGTATGAGAAGAGCTCGTCGCACCATGAGTGTTGTGATGCGGGGTGGTAACTGAGGACGTATGTGGCTGCGTTGAAGAAGCATGCGATGATCGCGCACTTGTTGTCACAGCTGGAGTACTGGGTTTAGACAGAGGGCAAGTTCCGGGAGCCGACGTCGGACTCTTCAGGGACGAGGCTTCTCGATTTGAAGTCGATTCCTAAACGAAGGAATTTTATGTAAATGGTGCAGAGACTAAGGCAGCTCCAGATTTCGCGACGACGCGCGTTGACGCGCTATAACGCGCTACAATTGCAACAGCTCTACAGGGCTATAGACGCGAAGGCATGCTCATAATCGATCGGCGCTGTCCGCTTGTGTATCAGGGAGTGAGGGGGGGACGTTGCTCAATTGCGCTGACTGGTACTGCCCACAAGGGCGGAGCCGATCGATTTTTGGCTGCGCTCGCGTCTATAGGACTGGAGCACTGCTGCAATCGTCACCCGTCGTCGCACGTTACAGAAATTTAACCCATTGCGTACCGCGTGCTGCACATGGTGCAGCACGCTTCATTTGAACTTATTTAGCATTGTTCCATGATCCAAGTGGGTCGGTATATTTCTGAAGCCTTCTGGAAGAAGATATGAAAAGGGGAAGTTGTAGGATCCAACTAGAGCTAAGTTATCGACATTTTCTAGGAAATTCTCCAGCTACTATATTCTTCGCTTTTTTTCTTTGTAATCAAAACTAATGTTGTGACCGAACTAAAAAGTTGAAAAATAGAGTAACTGAACAACTTGTACATGGTATTTCGCCCCATTTCCAATCCTTTCTGATTTTATGAATCTTTTTAGCAACTGCTGCATTTTTTCTGCTCTTATTTTTTAAAACGCAATAGTATTCAGTTTTACTTATTATACTGATGCATATTAAACTATATTACAATGTGAGGTATATACAATGTGTTTATAGCATATGTGCATGAATTAAATCACATTCGTTTATAGTCGGCGCGCCACGAGTAGCGCCGAGAAAAGGGCGTCGGCCACAGGCGCCCTTTTCTGCGAAAACGCCGCGATACGCAATGGGTTAAAGCGCGCCGACACGCGTCATTGCGAAGTCCGAACGATAAACAATGTAAAAAAATACCTGTGTTGTTGGCGGGAGCTGAGGCGGAGGAGGAGGGGCAGAAAGGATGGGAGATGTTTGTGATTCTGGTGTTGTAGATAACGCGTAAGCGGAAGATGAAGTGGCTGATGAAGAGAAATTTGGTGGTGGAACCGAGAAGTTCGGAGGATATGCTATCAGCGGAGCTGTTGGTGGTGCTGCAAGGCGAACTGGTGGAGTCGACGCGGATGTTACGTGCGCTGATGCAGGTGGTCGTGACGATGATGCGCCACTGCATGGAGCTCCAGATTTGCGCGACGACTAAATAAAGACAATTAAGCACCTGGAAAAGAAAAAAGACGGCGCAGTTCAGCGACGGCGTAGGAGAGGGGGGGGGGCGTTTGCCTAATTAGTTCCGATTTACAACTCCCACCCTGTGAAACTTGTGAACTCTTGAAAGCTAACGCGAGTCGTCGAGAAGCCATGGTAAAGCCTGTCAACTCTTGTAAGCTCATGAAATAGCTCTCTAGATGGTTCGGCGCGTCGATGGAAAGTAACAAAGTGGAAAAGGCCCTCCCCCGTCGCCGAACTGCCCCGGAAAGACTACAACGAAGAAACAAGTGACGTACCAGAGGAGAATCAATTCGCGTTGATGCTGGAGTTGTGGCCGCACTCTGTGAAGCACTTCCGGGTTGAGGAATAGTGATTGAAAGAGCAGGTCGATGTGTTCCTGCATTCCTACTGAATCCACTGGATGATAAGCCGCTTCCCGATGAGATCACCGGAAATGGAGAAACACTTAGCGGATCCGGTGCGGAAGCCTGCAATATGAGCACACTCTTGTGCACTTCAAGAAGACTAAGCAAACCACAACTCGGGGAAAATTTTTGGAATTTTGTCCTATTCAAGTTAATAGTCCAGAGTGACGGTTGCAAAGTTGAAGGCCAACAATGCTACCCGGCTTTTCCAAGAAGTTATGCCGTTCCATATCTGAATTGTTGTCCTAGGGGTAGGGCCAACCCTCAGCCACCGATGGTCGGCATGGCGCTATGCGCGCGCCCGTACGGCATTCTATAGACATTGTGGCCTCACACATTCCTCACTTTGAACGATATTTGGCTCACCCACCCCCGTGGTCCCCAACACATGCGAAAGCCAGCATTCTGGCATGACATGTTCCTTGCACAAATCGGTGCTCTAGCAGCCGCTGTCCTCTACCTGTCTACGTTACATGGTTTTGCAACTGCACCATGCAGAAGGGTTCAATATGTCACGTAACCGGCGCAGACTAGTCGAAGCATCGCAAGGCGAGAAAACGTGTGGTTAGCTAGGGGGTGGGTTTTTTAAGGGAAAGGGGACTCCGGGGAGGGTGAGTCACTTATCATGCGTGAAAAACTGGAATGTGCGTGAGAAAGTGCCCTGCTGACGCAGATTGCAGAGAAAAGTAGAAGTGGCGCGATCAAAGGACTAAGTGCACTAGACCGTTCATAACTCGCCCTGGGCATTCGAGTAGCAACTCTGGTTGTCACATGTATCACTCACCATCAGACTATCGATTTACCTACGTCTCTTTCAAAGATCCAAGATTCAAATTGAAAAAAAACTCTACGGTAAGCTCACCTTCGCAGCAAGTATCCGTTCCTGCGTGATATTCAAAGTGAAGTCGTCAAACGATGATTTCTTCTTCTGATTTATACTCCGCAGTCGTTCTTCAAATGAGTCTGTACGGTGTGTGGTTAACGAAGCACCCGACTGTTTATGGCGAGACGACGTTGGAGTTGTTTCCGTCACCAGGGATGTCGATGGATGACGATGATGTTGGTCATCTAATTCGGCCACGCCTCGGTGGGCTTCTTCCAGTGACGCATTCACATCGGTAAGACGAGAACCAATCTCAGCAAGGCGCTGAACACAGAAAATCAGAACTAGGAAGGAAAAGCTATTAGAACTCACAGGAGAGTATTACATAATCAGCTACAAGGGGGCAAAAAGGAGAGGGCATCGATTTGTCGGCTTATGGTCGACTTTGATCGGTACGCGTTCAAAATACCCAACTCGACCCTGACAAGTGCTGCGCTTTATTTAAACAGCACTGCACATTAATCAAACAAACCTTGACCTCCGGCGGTCTAAAAAAATGGCAAAGATCGCGCCAATTGTGTAGCGAGCAGAAGTAGGAACCACTTCGCCCTAATACCCACCCCTCTTTGCCCACATGCACATACTTGAATTACTGAACTCACCCCAGTCCATGCATCGGCCAAAATTGGCACGTCATCAGGTTCACAAAGGAGATCCAAAGCAGAAGGAGGTGGTGGTGGAAGCGGAGCTGCATCTGGTGAAAGTTGGGCGTCGCTATCCATGCCACCACTCCCACCACTGCTGCTTGGACTACGGGATACCGTACCATGTGCCGGCGCCGCTTGCGTTGAAACAGGTGTATGTAAGTGAGAAGGCCGTTCTGAAACACAGCCTGAACTACTCTGATCCATGGATAACAGTCAGCCAAAGGTGTATGCCCAATGATCAGCAGTCAACTGCCATGCTGTGCGCTACTGACCGTAACTGACACCCCATCTCGCCACTGAAGCTATCTGCTGCACGGGACAACTCATCCAGGACACTCACCGTCTTGATCCACGTAATTGTATATTGAAAAGACGCCAGCATTGACGCCGATTTAGGGACTGGTGACCTACCCAACTATTCTCCTGTTTTTGGGCTAATTACCAAATTTTTGTCCAGCTTTTCACTGCAGACCCCACTGTTATTCTGTTACTACTTAATCTTACCAAAAAAAATCGTTACTCTTTACTTTACTTACTACAGACCCCATGGTTACTTTACTATGGGGTCTGAATCGAAAATCAGCCCAGAAACAGGCGAGAACGCGTAATTAAGTCACCGGTACCTTATTCGGCGTCAATGCTGGCGTTTCGCTAATATACACTTACGTGGACCAAGATGATGAGCGACCAGATCGAGTTGTCCGGTGCAAAAGATAGGCTCCAGAGGCAGGATGAAGGTGGCAATAACGGTCAATAGCGCCCAGTTGCAATCCTGCGACCGCGAGCTGCACTACCGCCTCCCATCAGCGAATGAACTCACCTTCAGACGAGGAGCTGGCGAGGGGACGAGTGCCAGGAATAATTCCCGAACCACCACTAGCTCGACGTTGTGAAACGGAATAGCCTCCCTCGGTGCTCGCAGCACTTCCAGATGATCGTTTTCGCCACTCACCCGCCACTGAACGTGGATGGCGATCCGAACTGGCGAAAGGTGGCAAGGGCAAATGTGATGAAATCATTCGCGAAGATTCACCGTGAGTTCGCCGTGGATCACACAAAGATGTGCTTGCCTAAAGTGTTCAGATGAGGCTGTATTCAAATGACGATTGAGTATGTTGACCACTTACTAGTTCTGGGAAAACACAAGGATTTCGAAGCAGATCATTCCATGGCCATTTCCCTGTTCGGGATCTATGCGTCGATGGCTGTGATGTTGAATGCGGACGTGTGTGGGAACTTTGTCCGTCTATGGAGTGACGTTTCTGGGAATGACTGGAGGTGTTGTAATTGGATGGTGTACCTGACGAAGGACCTGGTCCAGATGACAAGGACTGATGTCGATGTTGTGCAGAAATCGACTGCAAAAAAAGAACGAATACGAAAGGAAGCCATAATCATCGAAACATCATTAGAAATACGACACAATGCAGCGAAACATGCAAATGCAAACCTGCGGTTCCTGTCCGAAATGATGAGATTGGTGGCGGCTGGAATAGGAATCGTGCCGTGAAGTAGACGGAGGCGATACGAAATGGGGAGTGCAATGTTGTGAGTGGGAATTCGATCGAGGAGATGGTTTCTTCCTCACTGGAGGATCTGCTGGAGGAGGTGACGGGATTTGCGGCAACGTCTCCATTGGAGGTGGTGCAGGTGGAGGATCCAGCGGTGGTCGTGAAACATCATCGTAGAACCTGTACAACCTTTTAAAACAAAATTAGGATTTACGGCAAATGATGTAAGTAATGGAACTGCTAGTGTTGGATAATTAATCTTGTTGCACTCACCCACTATCCCCACTTTTTCGATCGTCAGGAGTTGGCGTAATTGTGCCAATTGCCGCATTAACACTCGATGCTTGCATTGTTTGCGGCAGCCTTTCTTCCACAGCGGGGGAATGTCGCGTTGTTTTCCGATCTGACCATTTCGAAACTTCAAATGGACTACGTCGCGATGAAGATGTATTTCGTGGCTTGCCTGGAAGAAATGTTATTCCTTCCATTGAACGAGTGGTGTTTCCCACAAAAAAAAAGAAAATATCAGTGGAATGTGACGATTACTTCACTCCTTTAATTTTCAAACTACTATTTGGGGTGGTGGTGGGGTGGGGGGGGGGGGAGGACGAGGGAGAGACAATGCACGTTCAGTTGATGCTACTGAAAATGGGCATCACTACTGAATAGAGAAGGATCACTGAAAAACTTCTAACCTCCGAAGATTTCTGGCCCGTATGACTGCGCTCCCTTAGCGGTGGAACACGCCCCTTGATGGGATTCAACGATGATGTGCCCTGTTTGGGGAACTCCACGCGTTGCTTCTCTTATTTATACCTACAGAAAGCAAGCCTGGAAAATTTGGCTAGATTTCCCCTTCACATGACAGGGCACCAGCCGCTATTGCGCTCGGGTGGTAAGTCAAAACTAGCTTGAATATGATGTTGCAAGTTGGTAAACTCAAGGGGGAGGGCTTCTACAGTACTCTCACAAAACTGAGTTCACTATAAACAAACCCCTCCATCAACAAGGAAATCGGTTGACCCCATTCCCCACCGCTTCATCCTTTCCCTTACAAAAAAAAGAAAACAAGAAGCATTATCCACGCAAAATCTTCACTACAACAATATTAGTTTTGCATAGGAAGTACTTCAAATATCTCACCCTCCATTGCTGAGTTACCAATGCAATAGACGAGAGAAGCTCACCGTTAACATTTCGATCGCTGCGGATTTCACGTCTCTCATCACGTCGTCTGTCTTTATTCCGCTGACTGTACGACAACGGGCTCGACGCACGGCTATCGTTTGAAGCCGATCGGAGTCGCGTCAAAGACGAGTCCTCACTAGACGACATTGAGGAATCTGATGACGCACTGAAATGATCTCATGAGTCGTTTTGCAAGACTAGGACTATCAGCGTTGAACAATAGTGGGCAATACCGATCACTGGAAAGGCAATCATCTACGGTTCTAGTAAAAATGTACTAACCTCTGTTTCCGTTCCTTCCTTTCCTTCTTTCGAGAAGACCCTTTGTCGTAGCCGTACTTTGATGACTTTCTGTGTCGGGATCTTTCTTGTGATCGCTCCCGGGAGCGCTCACGACGTCTTGAATGGGTAGGTGACCGACGTTGATCGCGATGGTGTTCATACCGGTAGCTTAACATTAAATAATGAAAGAGCAGAAAAAAAACTAAATACAACATGATGAAGTCAGTGAAGGAGGCATAAGTTTTGAAAAATAATCATCATCATTATATTTGTCGCACCGTTGGCCTCCTATTTTGCGTTCATGGTTCGCGACTCAAGCGATTAACCTGTGCTGCTCTGAGTGACTGCGCTCCGTCTAATCCATTGACTGTAGAAAGCACCGAATAAATCCTATCCCGACTGTGACCAAAGGCAGTTGCAGCGGTACAAGGAGTAGCAGTGGAGCGCGGTCAGACACGGTCGCGCAACTAAATTTTTCAAGTCACGAAATAAAATACAGGCTCACAGGACCATCCAAAAGAACGTCCCAATGCCAAGAAACAGTACTTGAAAATGGGCAGCTCAACGCTCAACAAGAAGGACACCAAAGCAAAGCAGGCATAAGCCACTACGAGACAATGAGAAAAACATTATATATTCGACGCTGGTTTGGCCACATTTCTCAGAAGCAAAAAAGCTGGTCAAATGAAAGAATCAGTTTTACGACATCCTTCTCTTGCTGGCGACATTTCTTAGAAGCCATAATCTGCAGGTGGCACGACTATACAATCTGACATTCCCTACCGGGCGTGTAAGTATACTTTCATAAGAACTTGGTGCATGTTTCTCTGAGAATGAACTAAATGATATGCCTGACAATGACGCAAACGCCTTTACTTTCATTACCAAAGAAGAAACCCAATTGTTTCCGCAGTCACACTGTGCCACGCGTCGCCCCGGTTACAGATGACAAAGGACATTGTGAATAATTATTACTGAACAACTCTGCGTTTTCCTTTTTACAGATGCCTTTCCACAGAAAAAGAGGCGCAGTTCGACGACGGGGAGGGGGGAAACTCTTGTGGAGCTGAAGCAGCTGGTCGAGAGATGGTAAAACCTATGAATGTTTCTAAGCTCATGAAATGCCTATCTAGATGGGTCGAACGAGAATAGCAAATATGCAAATAGCCCCCTCCCCTCCCATCTGAACCAAAATGGCTTTTAGTTCCCCTTCACTGTGATTGGCCTGAGATGGCCTGAGCTCTGGATAACAAACGAACTTTGGCGAAAAAAAAACATCAAGATAAAAATGATTTTTGATTTCATTAGGGGGGGGGTGAATGTGGGCCAAATCATTTCTTGGGAACCTGTTAACTCTTGTAAGCTTGTGAAACGGTCGGAGCTTCATTTGTCATTTCCCTTTTTTTGTCATATTGGAAGAAATTTATAACAGGAAAGTAGGAAGACAATTAGTGAAAAAATGTTCCCTTACCCACCTCCTCCCGCTTCAACCGAAATTCGCTTAAAATTATAACTGGGCAACACAATCAACACAAAATACCAGTAGTGATACTAAAATGTGCACAAGTAACATAACTGCACCTGGGCATATCACTTGGTGGATCAGGCGGGGGTGCTAAGAGTGCAGTCAAAGAATCGTCGTCTTGCACAGTTGATCCTCCGACCGAGATACAACCACTACCAATGGTAGGGGTTGTCGGTAACGATACAGGATTCTTCACCGGTATACCGCCGTGTTTTCGATCGATAAAGTGATCGTGGAGCCGATCGGAGCAGAAATCCGCTGGTACGCGAGCTTCACCACTTTCCACTTTGAACACGCTGAAAATAGAAACGCTAAAAATTGCAAAGTGATGAAAACAGGAATACTTCAAGATATATTTGGGTTTACATGACCGTAAGCAAAAACATTAGACGAGTTTTGCTTGGACGAGTTGAACCGGAACGTTTTGGACGAGTTAGACCACACAGACCAAACAACGAGTTGAACCAGAGGAATAAGAAAAAAAATCTCACCGACCACAAAGAAGTGTAATGAAAGCGCAGGAATCGGAACGTGTAGATAACCAGCTATCTACTTTTACATCTATGAACGTTTTTGCGTACACATGTTACAAAAAGAAAACGCCGAAAAACAAAAACGCATCCCGGAAACGGATAGAATTCACCATCGATTTGGTCCCTGATTCATGGGGAAAGGATTAATGTGGAAACACGCAGAGAAATACCCATAAATTCTACGAGCGCATAACAATGAGCTACAAAGTGGTACAGTATGCAACATATATCACAATGGAAAAACACTGCAACACGAAGACGTGATTATGATGCTCCCAGGGAGCAGAATTTGTCAACATCTAGTTGATTTCCAGGAGCTATTCACCTTGGAGGGGCAGCTGGAGGATTGCTTGTGCAAAACTGAGATTACTTAGCACAAATTCTCATTTTACTTGAGACGTTGGTTTACCTCGCCCCCCCCCCTCAAGCTAAAGTGAAAATAACAATCTCCTTAACGTGACATAAGAACTGCACAAGGACACCTTCCCGAAGTTATGTGGCAGATTTTCTTCCAATCTAAATTGGATTTCAATATTTATGAATGAGAATATTTTTTCAATATAAACGATTGCTTTCTCATGAAATTTTCAAAAAAACACCCATCAAACAAAATTTTGCTTAGAAGTAGGGATGCTTTTTTCACAGCGCAGCTCCTTCCCCTAATACTGGGCTAAAATGCCTCACCCTCCCTCATTCGGCTCTTACTTGTTTGCACCTTCCAGCACTAAACGCCGTTCAACATAAAAAATGGCGCTAATAATTTTACAGCGGAAAAGGGTAGGGTGTGGGGGGAGGGGAGGGGGGGCTGGGGGAACTAGAATACAAAATGAGGCTAACGACACATGAACGGAATGACCGTATGTGGAAATGGGCTCACTCACAACGGGCTTTCTCACCCTTTAGTTTTTGGCCAAGACCCATCTCCATTAGGGTTTCGCACATGGAGTCCTTCAAAACTTTGGGGAGGGTAGCAAAGTTATCAGTAGGAAACGCAGAGAGAAATAGAGTTCAAACGGAACTGTAACCGTTTCTTGAATTTACAGAAATTCCCAGAACCGACGGGAGTTTCCAAAATGCCTATTAGCGGACTTGAGCCTATCAACTCTTCATTTATCCTAGCGCGCTTGAAGATGGCGCGGTCGAATATTGGGCGAAGCAAAAATAGGCGCAGTTCGGCGCAGGGTTGAGGGGGGGGGGCATTTTGCACCCTCTCTGCTTCACTAGTTCCGGTTTACAAGTCTCACCCTGGCGAAACCTGTGAACACTTGTGAAGCTAGAGCACGCTCGTCGAGCCACAACGTTAAAACTTGTCAACTCTTGTAAGTTCATAAAATAGCTCTCTAAATGGCTCCACACGCCGATGGGAACTTACAAAAACGCAAAATGCGCCCCCCCCCCTCCCCCGGTTGCCAGACGCCTCCGAAAATGCGCCCACCATTCCCTGCGTTATCGTGGGCAGCTACGCGAATTCCCCATTGAAGCATGTCACATGTAAGCATGTAAGAAGAGATTGCAGCAAGCACGAAAACAACACTAAAGCCCCTACTTCCCTCAACACAACGTCCGTTAAAAGACATTTAGGTATTTCACACAAGGATAAATGATAACAAACACACACTAACACATATAAGAACTGTACGAGGCAATATCCTTCAAACGTAATACACTTATTAATCAAAGTGTCATGGGGCGGTCCAATATTGGACGTAAGCCAAACGGGGGAAGCCATGCCGCGAGGGGGGAAAATGCACGCGCCACCCATATCGACCCGCCTTTAGCGAAGCCTCAGGCAACGAAACTCATTCCCCAGCGCTGGCCGTTTCGCAACGACGTTTCTTGCTTCCTTTGCGGTACACTTGCCCACCTTGCTCCTCATCGTCCTTCAACGGCCCCCATTGCACACCATATGTTACGTGAACGGTTTCTTGTGGAATTTTAATTTGACAACTACGTTAACAATCGCAGCGTAGCTTCTAAACACGTGGTTTCCCCGGCAAAGGTGACAATCAACCTAATAACCACTTAAAACCCCACTATCATATGAGCTTCGCAACGTTACGCCAGCCCACCGTCATTGATAACCTGCATAAAGAGGTCCCTGCTTAAGCCTACTAACATAAAATAGGCCTGTTTATTTCATTAGAGGGAAAGATCGATAGAACGAAAAACAGGCTGTAGCCCGATGAACGTTCGCAATCCAATTCGCTACGTGTTAGGCCATCTCTAACGACACTCTTCCACGTGGGGGCGAGGGAAGGAACTCAGGGATAGACGGTTTCTCACATAGGCAAAAATCCCTTTGGGCGTAAAGGGATTGTTTCACCCCGGACCTCATTCGTCCGCAAACTTGGCGAAAATATCCACTCTCCCAGCATCAAATGCCCTCCCCTATGAAAAAATTTGGGAGAAAAGGCGTAGAAAGAGTGTACGTCGTGAAACTTGACTTTCACGCCTCCTTATTGTCATGTGACGTCACGCGACGTCATGCAATGTCTTGGCACACCGCGTCACGCACCACAATACTATCATTAATGTATTAACTGCAGACTAGGGCCGAAAAACGAAATTTACACGAAATACACAAAAAAGCTCTGGTGTGGTACGGGTCCGCAATCCAACACAAAACAGATTTCTACCTAGGCATCTAAGGGGGTGAGAGGCGGATTAATAAAACGGATCTGAGAAAGTGAGCCATTTCAGCATGAAAAGTTGATTCATTAACACCTGGACATCTCTTCACACGTCACTTGTGAGATTGCGGACCTCTGCTACACCTGCGCATCGGAAAATATCAGCCCTGGAGGGCAGGCCATTTCGCAACAAATCTGATCGAATCAGTCCCCGTAGGGATCTAAAACAAGTAATACATCACGAATCACTTACAACTGCTTAGGAACACCCGCTTTGATGCGGTTCAAGGCCGCTTGGGCTCCCTCCGTGGATGAAAATACCACTATGGCTTGCCGAACCCTCATATCCACGACAACGTCAACTACTCCTAAATTGCAAAAAGTAAGTGAAACCCATGGAAACGAGTAAACAATAGAGCTACCTTCAGATAACGATCGAAGCTTTTGAATGACGTATTCTTCGGCTATTTGAGGCGGTATTGAACCAATCCACAACTTATTCGTCGTCATCGATCTTCCAAAGTTGGGTTGAAACTTCTGAGAAATCGTGATATGAAACTTTCAGGGGTTGATATCCAAAGCTTTCAACTGTTTGTTAAGCTAATATTATTGTACCTTTCCCTTTTTGTTCGCCGGTTGCACAGTACTCGAATGTGTGTTTATGGCACGCACAGCCGAATCTATATCAGCGAACTGGATAAATGCAAATGGTGACGGCGATTCGTAGTTCTTTACGTCCACGTCCAAAATCGTGCCATATTTCCCGAATCGACGACGAAGCGTCTCGTCTGATATCCGGCTTTCTAAGCCACCCACATACAACGTACGAGAGGCCTAAATACAGCACATTATCTGGGAAAGAATTCTTGGTAAGGGTTCAGAAAAAGCGGCGATGTTCGGCGACAGGGGGGGGGAAGGGTGCTATTGTACTTTTGTACTTCCCATGGACGTGTTGAGCCATCAAGTGGAGACCTGTGAAATCTTGTTAAGCCCGAAACGATGCCAGCCTGATACCAATGATACGTTTGTAGAAACTACCTGTTAACTCTTGTGAAGCAGTAGCTCCGGCTTCACAAGAGCTCACAATTTTCACCAGGTGAGACTTAAACCGGGACTAGTATACTATCGAAACAAAATGCTCCCCCCCCCCTCCGCCCGTGTCGCTGAAATGCGCCCAATCAATTAGATGTAAAATAAACATAAAGAGAAATAATACTTTTGGATGGAAGACGTCCACTTCATTTCGATTTCCGTTGGGAGAAGCGTACTTCGCAGGAAGTTCTGCATCTGACCCAACAGTGGCACCACTACCAGCAGGACTATTCAGTGATAGGTAGTCGTTATAGGCCTCCTGTAAATGAACTCAAATCATCTCTTCAGCATGAGTCATACATAAAACTAAAAACCAGCGAAGAAAGATGGCCTTGAAAGCATTCACAGCTGTTCAGACGAACTTGCACTTTTCAAAAGCGACTAACAAGAATTCATACAGATCTCAATGAACCCAACTTGGGGCATGACAAAAAAGATCCCGCGCTTTCGCACAAGTGTTCTAAGGTGTAACCGCCATCAAAACTTTTCATGTTTCATAGCGCCCTAGTTGGGGGGGGGGGAGTGGGGAGGGGAATTCGTCACAAACATTTCTCTTTCTCAATTAGAATTGTTCAGCTCCATCTTCTTTTCACATTCCTTCATTATTCAGACCATTGCGCAGTCTTCAGCTACCATTAACGTATTTCGTTCACCCATTTCTGGCTTTTTTTTCTTGGTTATCATTTTTCGGCTTTGGTTGCAGACCACGCACTAGTCCTTTACGGAAGGGTGGGGGAGGGGACACTTGAAACTACTTGGAAAGCTGCGAAATAGCACCATTTGGTTTCCTGTAGTGTCGAAGGACCCAGGAATAAATAGGGCAAGCTGGAAAAGGTAGATGACGACGCTAACAGACAACAACAGAGGATAAGTCATCGAGATGGGCGAAATGGCGACGGCAATATGAGCCCATTTCATGTTTCTCCTTCGGCATGACACCACTTCCCGCACCCCCCCCCCCCACTCGCAACCACACACGATATTCCCACGATTTTACTGTCGAGCAGGGGAGGGGAGAGTTTTTGCGATCAACTCCCAGAAGAATAAGTGCTGCGCCGCTAGTGGAAAAGGGCAATGTAGCGCTCGTGAAAAGGGAAAAAAATCAGCAGTAGAAAACCACTTTCAGGGTCGAACTCCCCCCTCCCCTCCCTCCCCCACGACTCAGCGAACAAATACGACTCCCTGATCGTAATGCACAACAATGGTGTACGCTGCCCTAAGTGCAATGTGGAAATCAGCTTTCGCATAACAATATGGATCCGCTCTTGACAATGATGCCCCCCCCCCCCACCCTCACAGGGAGATTTGCGGCCATGTTTTGAACGATTTGACGTTTCTTGTAGCTATTATGAACTCCCTCCAATTCCCTCGTCTTTCCTTTTTTGTGATCTTTCCCCGTTCTTCCTCGTTACACCTGCTTTCACTAGAAGATACTTAAGGACGTAATGGGCTCGATTTACTACCTTTGAGAAGAAAATCGTGTACTAACATTACCAAGAATAATTGCGAGCGCATGATGTCAAGTGCATTTGCTTAGACAGGTGTTAGGAACAGACCTAATCACCATAAGAAATGGGAGCTTACATAACGAGGGAGAAACGTGAGAATTAAGAGGAAATTCTCTGAAAACCAAGTGAACGGAAGCCAAACTGAGCGTAAAAAGAGCAGAAAGATCAAAGGCGAACACGACCAAAGAGACCATTTGTCAATGTTGGAAGCGCTATACTACTCCTCAATGCAGCTCGGCGATGGAGGAGGGCATTTTGCATTTCACTGCTTCATTAGTTCCGGTTTTCAAGTCTCAATCTTGTGATGTGAACCCTTGTAAAGCTGGAGCGAGCTCGTCGTGCTACCATGGTGAAACCTGTCAACTCTTGTAAGCTCATGAAATGGCTCTCTAGATGGGTCGCACGTTGATGAGAAGAAGCAAAGATACGAAATGTGCCCCCCCCTCCCCTCACCGTCGCGGAACTGCCCCTTACTACCTCACAATATGCGCTAAATGTGACGCCACTTGCTCACAAAAGCGTTCACAGAAAATGGAGCAAGCCAGCTAAACAGGTTTTCGCAATTTGAATAAAAAGTGACCTGAACGATGACATGATTGGCTGCGCGAATACGAACACGCATAGATAAGATGGAAATGTGAGAGTCGTTCACTAATTTCTCCATGTCAATGACACTGTAATATACATTGATCAGATTCCAACAATAATATTTCACAAGAACAAAAAAAAAACAAAAACAAAAAAAACCAAACAAAAAATACCGTTGAAAAAATAAGCAAGTGCCTTCCTAGCATCTCCATCTCCTTCAATCGAAATGTCCACAATTCGACCTGCTTTTTCAATGCATCTCTAATAGCCTCCTTCACAGTTCCATCGCTTCTAGGTGGAAGACGCTCCACATAAACCCCTAAATTAGCGCAAATAATTATGGCATTTTACATGAGTGAGTTTTTCCACGTACTTGTAAACCACCAGAGGAATGTGTTGATGTGCAGACGGAACCGGAGCCAATGGATGAACCAGAGATACCGCTGCAAAGGTTCACAGCATCAGTGATCGTCTGAAAATGTTGTAAATTAGAATTCGAACAGATAAAAAGCATTTGCTGATTCAATCTGGATAGCGCAATCGAAATGTAAAAGAACCACTGCCAATGCCTCCAATGAAGAAAAGTAAATTTTAGGCACAGTTCGACTTGATGGGGACATTTTCCATCGACCCCTGCCGGTGCCTCCTGTGAAGACAAGTAAATATCTACAAAGCTATGCAATGGCATGAGCTCCGCTTACAAATGACAAAAGTTTACTAGTCCTACCGAGGTGAAACGTGGAGAAGTAGGAACTAGCACAAGAAAGAAGCGACGATGTGAATGCTGCCCCCCCCCCCTAAACTCAAACGTCGTGAACAGAGCCCAAGTCATGATTAGAGGAACCTGGCCCTCTCCACACGTCGACAACAAAAATATTTCGGTAGATTTCTCCATACTAGCAGGGTTGCTCCAAAGCTTAATTAGTTTTGGTCCCAGAGTCGAATTCAAAATGTGGGCGCAGTTGGGCGACGAGGGGGGATTTTGCACTTCTGCTGCTTCCCATTGTCGTTAACTGATTTTCGTGAGACGATAGGTATTCTTTGCAACAGTTGACGTGTACTCTCTACAAACTTTGGTTAACTTCAGTTCACAAGATTCCACAATCCTCAACTTGTTGGCTCGATACGACAACGGGAAGCAGAGAAAGTGCAAAATGCCCCCTCCCCTCACCTAAGCCAAACTGCACCAAAATATGTGCTGCGATGACCGGTTATTTGAACTCTGCAACGTGCTTACTGCAATAATTGTTCAGGAGACTCAAGTGCGTACACATAGAGGAAATCAATACTTTCAACAAAAGACTTTGTGTAGACAAACTGCCGCCAAGGGAATAGAAGAAGCTTAAGAAAACACATGGGAGCGAGAAACATGAGAGCTGACTTTCAGCAGGAAAATTCTCAATCCTTCATCAACTACAACTGCCCCTCAAATTTGATATGGAAGGCCAAGTTTCCAATCACCGATGTTCAGCCGATACCTCCAAATGTTGTCGAAATACTGAATTCTAGTAATGGTACCGGATAAAATTGTCTGAGCGATTGGATGGTTGATCAACAATTAGCCGGGTAATTAGCGTTTAATAGTCGAGCGCTAGCCAAACTGGGGCAGGCTTCTGAAACAGCTGTCAACATTTTTCTTCCATTATAAACAGGTACGAAATGGTTTTGCCCATGGGAACGGAGGGGATGCGATATACTGCGACTTCAGTTGAGCTGCTAGGCTCTTTGCGGAGTGGAGCGCTCAGGAGTTCCCTACCCTCTTAAATTAAACCGCAGTACCATGTCGCGGACGCGAAATTGCAGTCTGTCCCTCTCAGGGCACATAGCGCCGACTTCTGCTACCAAATTTGCTAATCACTCGACAACCGTTTTGATGTAAAATGCTAATTGATTCTACGAAATTACGTGAGAATCAACCAGGCCCTACGCCGAGAGCAATTTTAGGCCTCACGCACAATTGTCAGGTTGCAAGAAAAACTGTAAGTAGCGTGATTCCGGCGGAAATTTGATTTCTCTCTTAGCAACCAGTTGTTAGGGACAAGTAACTCGATTATCAGCTTCGCTGAATGGTAGCCACTTTCTACGGGCAAGGGGATATCAGGTGCTCGCACTGACACAGCTCGACAAGAATTTAATTCAAGCATTACCTAAGAGCTACCGTAGCTGGCGCCGTCCCAGAATTTGTAATGCCGCCGTATTTAGCTACTTACATGGCACCATACACGACGCTTGGGGCAGTGCAATCGTGCCGGCAGTTTCACAACGGATCTTGGGATAAATGATGCAAACTAGCTCAAGCTGTAGCTCAGGAATCGCTAAGGGAAAAAGAATAGATCTTTTGACTCATCCATCTCAGGGAACAGCATTACCTTCTCCTGTCACTACAACATTCCACGACATAGGTACACGACCACCTATTTGGCACCCTTGCCCTCTGATGGAGCAGATTAAATGGAGGCGTATTGCGCTTCTCCCTACCTGGCTGTTAAAACTGCACTACACAACTAACCCAATTCCAACGCTTCCATTCCAGGGCGTGAATGGCCTTGAAGGGATAATGAATAACAATCCGCTATGCCGATGCACTCATTCGGGTGATGGTTTCTTTGGATTTTCGACGCGGAAATCCAAAGAAACCATCATCCTAGTGCAAGAGGAGACACCATGTGCTTCTTCAGGGACCAGTCTGCATTCAGCGTCAGCGCCTAGTAGCCCTCACGCTAGAATACGATTTTCGGGGAACGTAGGAAACTCCATGGTAAGATGAGCTTCTTCGCACATTCCAGTTTTCAACAAATGTAAGAAGTTTATCCACTGACGAAAAAAAAGCAGACTCCAACTCTCGAGGCAAATACTGCCCTGAATGGTGTGTGTGTGTTTGGTATTCGAGAGGGGGGGGGATAAATTGGTGGTGAGCCTATGTTCAAGCCAACCCCAAGGTGGTGGACCCCACTCCGCGGCCAGCAACATCGAGGTGAGTCAAGCCCCTATTGATCGTGACCACTCACCGATTTACCAATCAATAAACTTAGCTTTGGGGTCGCTAAAGGGTTTGGGTGAGCAAGTCTCACTTGTTTTTGCCGATTTCATGGTCTGACGCAAGTGAAGACTGCGAAGCCTACGTCCAATAAAGTGCTCCCTCCTATCCTATTAAGGCTTTAACGTCCAGAACAACTCTGTCTCACCGGGGAAGGCATCTCCTCGGCGTCGGAGCCGGGCGGGGAATGAGATAATGTTGATAAGATGTAACGAGCACTCTACATTCGCTCGCTGAACGCACGTAAATTTCTGTCAACACCGCACTGCAAACACTTTGCAGAAGTTTGCAACCGTGCAGAAGAAGTCAAGCATGGCAAAGAAACAGAGCAAAATCTACTTCAATTTCTCACACAGGTTTATCGGCACCTTTGTCGCATCCAGTGCAGTACGTAATTTACAATTTACCCGACGCCCTCTTCGGTTACCACGGCCCAATGTTGAGAGCGAATTTATATTTTTGTGTATTCATTTACACTTCTTCCACTTTGACACAAATACATTTCTCCCCAGTCCCTGCACAATATCAAAACAACCCCTGCCGTACCGATCGATGAAGCCGCGCCGTCTGAACACCACACATTTCTATTGGCCTTCACTCTCATGAGTCATAATCGTTCCGAACGCAAAACTAGCCTCACTCTCACGTATTCAACCTCTGGTCTACTTTTTCTAAGCGAACATCACTTGTGACTGACTAGTCTGAGCAAAACAAAATATTTTAAGTTGTTCACTGCTCTTCGCCAAGGTTGCGAATCACATGACGACCCTTTGCAGAAAATTTTAATTTTTAGCTACGTCCATCCCAAATATTTTTAGTATTTTTCTTTGCAGCTGTTCCTTTCTTTGGAATTAAAAAAGAAGTTCCTTCGAACAAAACGTAAACTCACGGAAAAAAAGCAAAACCATTACGATTATATTCAGCAAAATACATGCACTGCACTGAAGAGCAAAGCTCTAATTAAATAAGTAAAGTGAATTGAAAGGAAAAGGCTCGAAAAAGATCTCACTTGACCACTCTGGGCGCTACGTGATTCGGGGGGTACCAGTCTACAGTTTTGCATCCAGGTGCATGAACCTGTTGCAGAACTTCTTATCATTTGCTGAAAATCGGGAAGCACAGAGCAGATAACCCACTCACGAGCTTCCTACCTCTTCCTCTCAATATCGCAATCCAGCATGAGGTAGAACAGAGTTACGAAAAATTGCACAGTTGTCCTTGAAGAGGCACGTGGGACCCATCCTGCACCAGGATGATGGTTTATATGAATCTCCACGTTCAAATTCCACAATAAAGCAGTACAGTTGCCCGTTATCCTTTCAAAACCGTATGTCAATGCGCTTACCCTAAGCCTAAAATCTCCAGCTGAGTTTCGTGGAACACTTTTGCCCTTAAGATCATTCAGGAGTCATTTTCCCTGCGACCCACCGATTATTATTAGAGATCCTTCTTTAATCGTCTTAATTTTCTATTTTTCTCTGCGCTATTAGTCTGCATGGCGTCCTACGACCACTGCGACCTTCCATACATCAGCCTTATACGCGGGAGGCTTTGTCACCCAGGAGTATCACCCCTATTAGAAAAGCCCGTGAGCAGGCTGATCGTATGTTTTTTTTTTTGCAAGCTTCTTTGTCATGGCAGATTCTGGCCCCTAGATGTCCCCACCCTAAAATCGCCAAATATGGAGGGCTACACGGGCTAACTATGGTTTTCAGCTAAGTATCATTTCCAAAGTAGGGCTTGAACGCGGAAGTTTGTCAAAATCACCAGTCTGCCATAAAACGTTCCAAATGAAACACAGATGGAACGCTCATCAAACCATCTTCACTAGATCATCAAGACCACCAGGAGATTGATCCTTGGACAATGAAGTTTTGCTCGAGATTATGACAAATGGAGAAAATACATTTCGTTGCCAAGAACTTGTATATGACACGTGTCACACAATGAGCAGTAAAACATTAAAGATCTCGGACAGCATCTTCACAATGAGTGATTCTACTTTACTGACGACATACATTAACGAACCAGTTTCGGAGTTTTTAGTTTCTACGTGGAACTAATAGTAACGTAGTGAACCAAGTCTATCTACGCTCAATATGGCGACCTACTAAGTAGTAGGAGAAAATTGGTTAGGATCCTTCACGGTTATTTTGATACAAGTCTCCAGGGGACATTCAAAGGACACCTAGTGCAGAAATGGAAATCGTGATGGAGACGACAATTTTTTTGAGTAAGGCTACAGGAGAAGGAGCTCCGGAACGGACCGAACAATTTGAAATACAGTAATCCAATTTGCACTGCGGTATTCTTAATCTTAGACGAGGACCTCCTTCTACTACCTCCGCCCCCCCCCCCCATCCAGCCTAGTGGATTTGTTCCACTGATCTTTGGACTGCATTCACGGTGAGTGAGGGAGGCGCGTGCTTTCTATGCCTTCCAGAATAAAGTAACAAGCAGCGAGGAGAAGACGAATAACTTTCTTCTTAGAGTTCTCTCAGAAGAATGACCGAGAACAAATGCGAATGCATCATCGGAACCGGTTACTCTTAACACGATTTGAAGACGACTGTCATGGAGACAAGCGAGAATTACAACTATTAAGAAGCCTGAGACGAAATTACAGAATGAGAAGTGAAGGAGGAAGAGAGATATCGGAAACATGTCAAATAATAACCACGTCTACCGTAACTCACCCTTGATCTCTTCGATGTCCCTCAGATCGTATCAATCGCTTCCCAGCGTTCGTAATCACTCGCTGCTGACTCGTTCTGAAGATAAACTCGTTCGAACTGAACATCATCACATGGAAAAACTCCTGCACTTCGTTTTACGATCGATGGGACTCAGAGCCTACGATACACATCCAAACGTCATTGATCAATCATTCACTGTCGAGGTGATATTTGAGGATCGCAGCTTATGAGCTGCACCAACTTTATTAAAACATTCACTCAGTCGATTCAAGTAGGCCATTAGGTCAACATACAGATGCTTTTTGATCCGTTACCAAAGATCAGGAACGTTTTTGCCTAAGCTGTAAGCTACGGGAGGAAGGACCACTGGGTTGGTAGAAGAAATCCGTCCACTTCGTGTCTCTTTAGCCTATGCTGAGGGAGGACCACGTTCAAGACGGAAACTGAGCACGTCCTTCCGTTAGGGAACAACTCAGCAAAATATGACCCTCCTCTTAATTTTCACGGCCCCTTTCTCTCCACCCATATCCTAATAACATTTTCCCGAATTCTTCCAGATTCCTACCAGTTTTCTCAAAGAATATATCATAAAACGGTGGAGGGATGGGTTAGCGCCAGTGAAACGGCGCCCGAAAAAACCAAGAAAAGTCAACAATCAAATACATTTGTCTTCGAAAACATTACGACACCATCCCCTTCACTGTGGATGCTCAATATATACCACGCCCTGGCTGAACCACACTATGCTTTCGACCTTTTCCAATTTTTCTCATTTGTTCAATTTTCCCCACGCAGTCCATGGATTTCCATCTTCAATGACTTTTCTTGAAGAGATCTAGCCACCTTCTCCCCCCGGCTCACAATCTCGGCTTTTTCAGCAATGAATTCAATTCAGCATAAAGAAACCTTGGCAATAAGCCCTCGCATTGGAGCTTTAAACACTTGTGCAGGATGGGACTACCGTAATCCGACGAACTGCTCCACCAAAATACCCCAGCTTTGGACCAGCACCCCAAGTTCCATGATGTGGAGTAGAAAGAGCCTCGGTTTCTATACAGAAGGACTTCTTTCAGTGCTTTTCATGATGTTACAACCTACCTCCCAAGATCTTTGCTTCGTGGTGACGGCGTTCGCCTTCGAGAAGCTTCAACCGAAGATTTTGGTGAAGAAGTGCCATTGGACGTGGAGGATAATGATGACGTTGTCATCAAACCGCTAAATTCATTAAATCAGACAATGTTTCGAAATCATTTTGTATTTTAGCCGCGCACGCTCGACTAAGCCAAGATGGGGCTATATGGCCCTACGTCACAACTTCAGAAACGATAGAAAAAGATGTAAGTCAAACGAAAAGAGACAAAGAAGTAAATAGAATAGTAAACAGAATGATCAATCTGCCAGAAAGGAAAACGTGACATAGCCCGCAACAATTTTCTGATCGATAATGACAGAAAGGCATAAGTAGTCAGATGTCATGAGCGTCAAAAGTGGAGAACATTTGGCATGACCATATGTCCCTTGCCCCTCCTAATAGCGGGGACCCTGCGCCTGCGCAGACGTGGTTGAGCGTGATGACATCATATCTTGACACAAGGCCCTCGTGGGACACTGCGCCGCCCGCAGAATCGATCGAAGCGATACGACTCGCGGGGGGACTATCGCTATAACGCGAGGCTAGATAGTGAGGGCAGACCACATCGGGGTCATATTTGACTTCCCAAGGCGGAATTATTGAATTCACGAGAAAACAGACTGTGGTACAGTGCTGTCCTACACAAAGGTCAGCAAAAAGTACTTCAGGGGTAAAAACGTACATCGAAGGGGGAAATCCCTAAAAGGGAAACACAGGGTGGTTCACCTCGATCTCCAAAGCATCCCCTCATCATCAACCAATCCCCGTACTTCTTAACCTAGCCTGCCATCGTCAATACAAAAAAGGTTTTGATATTTTCTTGATATTTTGATATTTATATTTTGATTTCAATCGAATTGTTATAATCTAGATAACGATTTCGCGTAAGCCTAAAGAGGAATGGGCTCCGCGTTTGTGAACTATTGCCAGTACCCATCCAGAAGAGTTTATTCCCAGTTTCACACAGAGGCCTTCCCTCTAAGGTTATTATTACAAACATTTTACCCCTTACCCGAAAAGGCAAGATTTAAGAAGAAAAGGCGAAGACACCAAAATTACACTAAACTCGCGAAACCCACAGTAAGGTCCGATTTGGTCCCTTGGGGAGGGAGGTTAGCGCAGATACCTCCATTTTCCATTCCAAGTGATTCACCCCGGCCTCAACTTCTCTCAGAATCTGGCCTTTCTCCTCACAAAATGATTCTGGTTCATATCCCGAGAATGAGAATCAGAGAATCAAGGGATTGGCCCACCGATTGAGCAAAAAAAAACGTTATTTGATGATTTGAACAAAATCCGTTCACAAGTAGCTATCAGGGAAGCTGACGTCGTTCCTAGGATTATAGAAATTATCTGATAAGGGAGGGGGTCTGCAAACTCCTGCAAAAGGGCCGCACAGTTGAATCTCAAGTTTACTAAGAACTGTCTCCAACTGAGGGACCACGGGATAGTCAGCACAGCATCCCAGAGATTCGAAACCTCGTACCACAAACGAAAGGCCATTTTCTGGGCTAATAATCTCCGAGGGGCATTTAAAGGCCTCCTGAAGCAAACTGGAATTAGCCTCATTCCAATAGGATTACCATACGGAATTGATTATCCACTCCGTAGGTCCTCCCTTTAGGCTTTCGTCCTTTTATCTATTACAGAAGGCGCAGTTTCACACAGACTTCCTGCCCCCTCCAACGTTATTAGCGCTTCGATTTCCTCATAGAATTATCAATCCACTCCCTCGCTCTCTTCCCCTTGTATCCGTGAAGATCCAAATCCCAGGCCTGCAAACGTTCCTTCAAGCGCCAAATACTGCTCAACATTAGGGAAAAAACCAAGCTGGATGAAAAATAACTGGTAACATCTCAGATATTCCGAACTTCACAAAATCGTCCCATGATTTGACAGGAGTTCACAAAATGTCCCTCCTATCTAGTGGACTTAGGCCAAAGAATCTATCTCTATGTTTGGAACTCAAATCGTTCCCATATCATTTTCTTCATACAACATTAAGAATAATGGCCTTCAGATAGGGCTATTCAAGGACCTTGCTCCATATGTGGAAGAAATGAATGATCCCACTTAGCACTCAACGTGAGTCAGGTTCAGTTCAGTTCTTGCAACCCATTTTACCACTCACTCCGTGGAAACTTCCTCGTTAGAATGTCAAATCTCTTAGCGAGCGCACGCAAATGTCATCGGAAAACTCGAACAATGCTATTAAATAACGACGTAATTAGTGGCCTCAGTCAAGTCGGACTGTCTACGGGGTAGCCATTTGGTGACCTGCGATGGAATTGGGGACGAACGCGGGTCAACCAACAAACGTGCGCTCGCCACAAAACAACGCGCAATCGGGGACTCGCTCCCTTGATATGTTGGTCAGTCAGTAATCGCCATATTCGCATGAGTTAACAACGGGAGCCTAATGGAAGGCAGTGCAATCAGAGATGTGGGCGCGGTTTGGCGGTGAGGGGGCATTAGCACTTTCGCTGCTTCCCTAGTTCTGGTTTAAAAGTCTCACTCTGGTGAAACTCGTCAAGTCTTGTGAAGCTGAAACAAGCTCGTCCAGCCACCATGGTAAAACCTGTCAACTCTAGTAAGCTCATTAAATAGCTCTCCAGATACGTTGATTTGAAGCAGCGAAAGCGCAGAATGCCCCCCCCCCCTCTCCTCGTCGCCGAACTGCCTCGAAGGATGTATGATATAACGAAATCCAAAGAAAACAAGTCATTACTAAAAAAGACATAAGTCGGCTCTCTTCAAAAGATTCTCTTCTGAAGCAAAAAGGCTAAAAACGCATTCTCTTCCATTTCTACGTAAGCATCCTATTATGCATGAAAGAAAGATAAATAGATGTTGAAGTTTTAGCGCAATAGACAGTGAGCGACTAAAAAGCCAGCTGGAATTAATGAGAATACAGTACTTCTTGACACCAGGTTCGTGAAAAGCGATCCTGAACGGAATTCCAGCATCCAATCGATGATCGCCAGCATGAGCTTTCTGAGCTGATCTCACGTCCATAAAGCTCACGACGACACCTTCGTGTGTTCGTTCTATTTGATGAACACGACCATAACTGAAATATTTCCTGATTACCAAATTTAAAAGAAACTAACCACCACTTGGCACTGGTCTAATATAAGTCCGCAGCCCCGTCTTACGTGTTGGAACATGTCAGGACGTCTCATAACATAACACTAACGTGGGAACGAAATCACAACGAATACCTTTCCCAAGTCATATCTTCGATTATTTTTGTATGTTGGGTGGGATTTAGCGCTGGACCATGAGGATTTTCGCCTGGACCCGGTCGAAACGAGACCCGCTGTGAGAGGCTCTTTCTCATGAGATGCAAAAATCCATCTTTTGGTAAAAAAGGATCGGTTCACTAAAAAGAGAGCTTTTTCCCTCCCAAAAACCAAACAACGTAAGCGCATGGAAAGTGGCATCAGAGACTTTCAACTGTCGACAACAGAGCAGTTGCCACGGACTTTGAACAACGCCGCAACCCTGGAGGCGTACTCAGTAGGACCCCCCCCTCCTCTCGAGGGATTTTCCCCCAGCCGCATGTTATAACCCTGATACCTGAGAACCGTGACATGTCTTAACACCTCTAAATATCAGACTGTTGGGCCTTCTTTTACACAGCGCCCACCACACAGTTTGATCTCGCGACGCAATCTGACGGTCGCGGTGGCCAGGGGACGTGACGGTGCAGTGCCAAAAGGCGTGAAATGAGCCCCCATCGGCTGCGATTTCTACCAATAATGGCCAAGTTGAGACACAATACAACCGATAGTAGATTACCCCGCGTGCGGGCTCATTTGCGCCTCATAACACCGCCCTGTCAAACTGCGACGATGGCAACTGTATTTTACATTGTACAGACCTTGAAAAGAACGAATTAATCCGTTCATCGGACACAGAATCCGGAAGCCCTGACACATATACATGACGGCTTTCGCGACCCATGTCACGGTTGAGGTGAGTCGAAGTTGTACCACGTGGCTGATTCTGGGTAGGTGAAGCAATAACGACTACCATTCTCCATGCAAATCTGTGCAGTGGTTAGCCAGCGATTACCAAAGTCATTAGTCTGAAGAATAGCAAAATACCACACAAGAGATCTTCGCTTCGAGCAGATCACCAGTAAGGTATATGTAGGTGTAACTAGAAAATGATACATGCACATAAAATAAAAGAACAACACTATCAAATCTAATGCAAATCCGCTTCGAACTATACGTTTTACACATAATCTGGAAAAAGTCATGCTGCTGACTGGCTTGGGAGGGGCATTTGAGTTTTTTGCTCGATCTCGTTAGGTAACATTTCAAGCCTTGACGAAACCTGTAGACACTTGTCAAGTGTAAACAAGCTCATGCTATTGTCCGAATATACAGGATTGACATACTTCCACTGAGGCATCGCCATCGATCGATGGAAAGAAACAAAATGCCCCCACCCAGCCGAACTGCGCCCAACGTCGCAATGAAATCGTGGTCTTCGGCTGAAAGTCCTATCCAAAAATGAGAATGCTGCGACATCACAATTCAACAACAAACATCAAAGGTCTTTTCACAGTTTTATTTTGAATACGCAGTAAATTCAACTCCCACGATTCAACA